TTATATGGGACTCATAACATAAATAGTGAAAAGTGGGTGTTACATTGTACAGTGGCATTAAGTGCCGTAATGTGCACCACTGCCTACCCCTTCGGGGATAAAGGGCGTGATGTTATGTTATGTTTTAATTGTTTGTAAAATGATTAAGTAAAATATTATGTAATATTTAAGTACAACCTAAAATAGGCTTTCAGGATTCGGGCGTAAGCTACAAAATAATATTAAGTTTTTATAAGACGAAGGGACAGACAGTGGTGCATTTACTAATGGTAGTCAGTTTTTTTTATTAGTTATTTTATGTACCTCGCTTATAAAATTGGTGTGGTGATGATCATTTCAATAAATAAAATCACATTTATTTCCGAATCGACCAATGGAGCTACGAGGCATTTTATTAAATAAGGCTAAGTATTCACGACTTATTAAATCAATGACTTAACAGCAGCATGAATATTAGAAAAGTTAATAATTCGCTTAACCCGACCCATAAGCAATAGTTTAATTGTTTGACAAAAGGTTCAAATTCAACAAACCCTCTGGGGCGGACTTGTTCGAGGTTACCGTTAACTGTTCCACTGATTATGCATTTATTATGCAAAATGTTTGAATGAATTTATGCGTGAAATTACTACAGCACCCCATTCAATTAGTAGATGGATATTAGAACATTGGAGGCCTGCAGAGCGACGTGCCATAATCTCGTGTCAACACGAGATCTGCACGAATAAAAGTACCTATGTGATCGTATTGAGAGTAGCTGTAGTGTCGCATACACCGTGCGCTATGACGCTGGCTTACTCGTATCATTCATTATAATTTAACTTTTAGACAACACTTTTTGAAGTTTATCGCTTCAAAGTACACAGTAACCACGCCCTGGTACATTCATTTTGGGAATGTTGCAGTTGAAATGAAATTTACACGAATTTTTCAATGGGTTTCCATGAAATTTTTTGGAGTGAATATTGTATACATATATGATATTGAATATTTTTGTCTAAATTCGAATATTTCAGTCTGTGTAGTAGCACGTGTAAAGCTTGTACCTGTGAGGCTTTGACATAAGACCTTTGATCCGCTGTCATGGTCGGAATGCCATGGCATATCCTTTTGATCGAATATTCACAGCAAATATTTTAGTTCAGGTATTTTTTTATGTATAGATCCTTCTGTTTCAATAGGGTTTAGTAAAATAAAACAACACTCTAGATTACAGCAAACGTGTTTATTGGTTATCTAGTGTAATAAATATATAAATAGTCCAGTATACAGTTGCCTGGCGCTTTGCTAAACGGGGAAGACAGTGAAGGAAGTGATGAGGCCCTCCGAAGTAATACAGGCTTCAGAGGGGGAGCATATACAGGTAAGTAAATAGTGATAGTGTTATCAGTCGAGCTGAACACGCAGCAACGCGCCACACAACTCGGCTCAAGCGCACACGTCGGGAATTCGGTTTCAAGCTCGTATTATAGGTATATACTATGTTTGGGATATTTGAATTATGCGCGTGAATCTTTGAACAATACATGCTGGAATATACCGAGCCACAATAGAAGTATAGGTATGTCGTTGTCGTACTGTGTCGTACCGGCACGAGCGACCACTGCGCCGCCGCAGTCTTGATGGCTCGCTCGCGTCACTGTGATCGCCCACTAGTTTGTGTGAACGATGCATTGTCATACCATCACCCGTAGTTTCCGAGTAATAAATATCGACCGTGCGCTTGATTACATGATTGTATGTAAAATAGATAAAAGAACCACAAAATAACAGCCAGATTTTAGACGAAATTCCTTAGTTTATAGTTGAGTATAGGTTCAAAAATCGTTCAGTCACAATTTATAAGAAATAGTCGTTCTTTCACATCATATATTAAAGTTACATTTAAATATACATCGAGAAATTCACAGCATTTCATTTAAAGTGGATGGTATTATTGTCCAAATGACAAATCAACTCGAGTCTAGGTTACATACATTTATTCGTTTCCTCGTGGCACTGGTAGCCGTTTAACTACAAAATTATAAAAGAAACTGAAAGTTACAGTTTTAATATCAAACTGTGTAAGAAGTTATAAAAAGTTTAGGTCATTTTTGGCACAACGATCTCCATCACAAGTTTAGACCTTACTCTACATTGTATACTAGCTTTTAGCTTACATAGTCGGACAGTGTCGGATGGGCTCCGACGCTTCCCGGACAATTGCCGCGTCCGGCGCGTGTCCGGTGACTCGAGGCTTTGTGCTCTCATTCAGCTCAGCTCTGATCCGCTCGCATTTAATGCTTGCAAACTTGAAAGCGAAAATGATGAGCGTTGTAAGCACGGGAGCCGGTTCGTGCCAGCAGGCCGTGCTTACACCGGCCGTCACACGCTTGCACAGCCTCTTCCACTCTCGTCCGAATTACGTGGAACTTAAAGTGATGAGCGACATCTTTACATAGATGTAAAAATATGTTAACTTAGTTATATTAATTACAAGTAAACTACAAAATATTACGTTATATAACAACGAAGAGAACGAATCCACAACGAACTCATATTGCGTCAGAAGACTGACGGTATGCCTCGCATGTTGGAACATACAAGGAACTTTCAATTCCTCAGTTGGAATGTAAGTAACACTAAAACAATATAATACCCACCGCCGTAAAACAAACGTTACGTTTTTTATTTAGTAAAATGTCTTTTTACAAATTTTATTCTCTACCTACGTCCCTAGATCGAACCTTTTATTTTTATTTTAAATTACAATAGTAAAATAAAATATTTTTGTTACATTTCTCTATTTACCCAGTTAATTTTACTTCTCTCGCACTAGAGCCTTCCATTTAATTCCAATTTTGAGTTCTCTATCTAAATTACTCTCCTGATAATGCAACCTTAGGAAAAGAGAAGGAGAACATAAGAAGGATAGAAGTCGTATTATCAGTAAGAGTGGAGGTGAAAGGGGGGAGTGATATGTGAACACAATCAGCTTAGTTGTAAAGAAGGAAGAAGTGCACAGTTCACAATGTTACACCTAGCATGCAGCTACAACATTTATTACATGACATATATTTTGATTATCTAAACAGTTACGACATACAAACTGTCGCCATATTTCACATGCGACGTATTGCCAAACACCCAGCGCCCGCAGAAACAGACACAATCCCAACTACGGAGCGCAGCAGTCGCAGTGTGGGCGCGCGGTGTCACCAAGACGTTCTCCCAAGACCTCGTTAAACCTCGCGACAAACTTACTTGGCACCGGCTAATATTGGAGCAGTAAACTTGTCGCCGCCCGGAGCCAAGCCTCTCTCAGACAAACTTCCAATCATTAACATTTCGATTGTTTATTCATATTGAAACATTTCTGAATACATTCAATTAGCGCCCATTTTCGTTTAAATGCGGTTCGATGAGTGGTTAAATGATTCACTGGTTACAGTATCGGTGACGGTGATGCAATCAATATACGATGCTTTTGTTTGGATTAACTTGAATAAAAGGAATTCTAAATATAGAATTTGCATTTTCATTTCAAAATGGCGACCACTGATGTACGCGTGATATAGTATCCAATTTATTACAATTCAGCCTAGTACATTTAGTAGCAACTAATTTGCTGTTAAAATGGATTGGTTGAGTCTCGATCGCTATGATTTCGAATAATTGGATCGAAGTGAAATTGGAAACTGAGTGGGCCGCAGGCAAGAGGCTTACTCTAACAGATCTGCGGTGGTACTTACTGACGCATGACGCTCATATATAGTGGCCGCCATCTCTCCCCACATTCACACAAAGTAATACGAATTTCGAGTTAATGATATGCAAATTTACGCAAAAGTTCGCATTTAATGAAAGTTTTATGCATTTATTCATACTTTAAACGTTTGCCCCATTTTTCATTTAAGTTTTAAAATAAAATGAGAGTCAGTTGAATGCAACTTAAGTCTTACTTGCACTTAATTCGCTTAATTGTCTTAAACGTTCCAGCTGCTGTAATAAAGAGATCTTGCGCCTGGTTCAGATCTCTGCTCCGATGAATTTATGAACTTTCAACTGTAAAGTTGGATCCCTCTTGTTATAAACTTTCAAAGGCTCGTCGCTTGCATTATTTACTGAATCATAACGTGTAACTTGAAATACGTTTGTCGCTTGGGTTCATAAAATCATGTTCGATGTATCTGTGAGGAGAATTCATTGTTGTATAAAGTCCCGCAGCCAACCGCTTGTGAAATATGACAGCAGCTACTTTGAATAATAACTAAACAGACACATATCGACGTGAATACGTCATCGGTTATAGATTCTCCACACTTGTTCGGTTACACACGTTCTGGTCAAGATGTAAGCAGCAATAACAATCAGTAAATGTAAACAGATTCATAATTTAGTTGAATTTCGTTAAATATTGGGTTCGGATAAAAGAGCAAATCGTTTTAATTAACGTTATCAAAATTGTATAAATTACATTAATTATTATAATAAGATTGAATGAATAAATCAGTAATTAATTTCAATGGAATTGTTCTAATTTGCAAAGCAATGTATACGATTTTGATTTATCTGATTTTGCTGATATTTATTATTAAATGTGTTGGATTGAAATAAAATGAAAACGTGAGATTGTCGACAGAGCGTTCGCTAGGCTAAGCAAACTCCGATACAAGTGTGGAGGCTCGCTTATTGATACAACGACATTTATCATGTTAAACACGCATCAATTGGAATCAAACTGTCGGATTGAACTCACGGTCCAGTGACGGTACGGACGCGGCTGCACATTTCAAATACATTTCTATATTTCGCATAAAAAATGTCTATAGTGGCCATTCATACTTTCCAATAAATTTTGAGAAAAAATCCCGGGCTTATCAATTAACGATATCTTGAAGTTTAGTTATAATTCTCTCAATTTTTGATAAGTGAAAATCGTTGAGTTAACAGGCCAATTTCAATCCTCTTTAAATAGAAATAAAGTTGAAATATGCAGTCGTGTGGAGTGTGGAATCTGTCTACACGTATTCGGTGTAGAACGCGTTGCTGGTGCAATTTCCGTTGTCGTTGGGGGAGTCGGGGTGCTCCTCCGGTTCCACGCCGTTGGTGCGCATCTCATCACGGACCTGCACAAATGAGGAGGATTGTCTTATAAATAACTAACGTGGACAAGGAATAAAAGTACCCAACACCGTTCTCCAGCCTCCTATCCGTCTTCTGAAACCAAAATAAGTTTCTACAGCAAACGAACAGACAGATTACCTGACTGAGGTGGTAAGCATTCAGCGCCACCTATAGACCTCCATAACGACAGAGAAGTAACATTGACGGCCTTTGGGATGGGGGGAGCATTGGGCATCCGGTAACCTCACTCACACGGCGAAACACAACGCAAGTTGTTTTACGTCGGTTTTCTGTGAGGCCATGCCCATTTGTTCTGAAGCATGGCTCTTTCACGTGAACCATTTTTTTTAAGGGGTAAAGTCAACGAATGGCTGCTCCCGCCTGGGTGAGGCGGAAGGGAGTGTCAGACTCTTACTGACTAAAAACCACCCCGTTCCTTCTCCTGCACGTCGAGCCGGAGCCCCGGTTACCCGTTAGGTTCTCCGCGAAGCATAAACACGTCCGAACATACTTTTAAAAAAATGTTTAAGAAAGGATGCGTCATCGTTGTAGCGTTTCAGATTATTTGTCGAATCTGTTCAACTGTATCTTTGCTACAACAATGTGATAGCTCAATTTCGTGCTGAATATACTACAGGAATACGTGAGACTCTATCTTATTCGGTAGTCAGTAGATGTACAATAGGGTAGTTTCCTATATTTTATTTTAATGTCCGTCTGGTACATTTGTTCAAAGCTTTAGACACGTATTTTTTCTTTTCTCGTAAAATTAAATACTTTCGACGATATATTAATTTGAAATATCGTGTGACGTCACAGCGTGTCCCATTTTGTAGCACGTTATGACGTAACGACCTATCACTCCTCAACTTAGCGCCATTTTACCTAAATATTGCAACTCAATACGAGAAAATAAAAAAACGTGTCTAACATTTTTTTCATTATCTAACTAACGTACTAATTAGTTATTTAATATTGATACCCTGGAAACTACCCAAATACATATACACACATTACATTGCACATATTTATGTTAGGTTTATCTGTGAGGATCAGCCAGACGCGTGCATCAACTTCTAGTATTCATAGCCTGCATTGACTTCTTTCCATCGAGGTTATAGTATTTTTGTATTTTATGAGCAGAATATCGTACCTAATGAATATATTGGTGCTATGAGCGGGTAGCAGCGCTCTCTGATAAACCTGAACCCATATAAACTGCCACCGCCAATCCTCCTGCCTAACTTGGACAATATAAAAAAAAACATCATATGTAGAGGAGGCCCAAAGTCCAGTTGTGGATTGTGGCGGTTTATTCATATTAATATAATATTAGCGTTTGCGTTAATATTATCGTTATTAATGTATTAATTGCTATTGCTCCTTCAGCTGAATAATTCATCTCCATCTTGTATCGCGGTAAGCATTGTAATGTAATGCCATATGGCAGGAGACGACGTGAACAATGCACGTGTGCTTGGTATTGTTCCCTACAACTGTGTAACTTGTTGTCTGAGGCTAGCCCACTGCATGATGTATAACTATCATGCATTGGACTATTACTTACATATATTTACGTCAAAACAGCAGACATAAAGGAAGTTGTTTTTCTCATTGGTTTTGAACTTATAACAAATCGTCAAGTTGTACAAAGCAACTAAATCTAGCTTACCTTATATTTATAAAATGCCCAAACAATATTTTATAATCATATTTACTTGCACCAATTAAGTATTATTTATATCACAAGAGCTCAATGGGTTTTAACATTTTAGCTTCAAGCATTCTATGTTCCATATTCCACAAAATCAAAGCTAACTATAATATTGTAGTTCAGTTATTCAGCGTACAATAATATAAACTCGGTACACTGCACCGACGTAAATTGTAGTCTGTCTACAATCAAGACGTAGGTGCTTGTGATCAATTAAGTTAGTTACTGGCCCCTGACATCTTGCCTTCTCCAATAATACTACCGAAGCTAAATTCACCAACACTGATGTAATTTCAGTTGCACCCTTGCCATAGTTCCCTTAAGATAACATGTCACCAGCTGACATGTTTCGACATGTTCCTGTACCTAGGAAACTGGGCCTTGCTTGTCTATAGCGGAGATGGATATTCGAGGTTGAATTAATAGGTGGGTTTGAAGAACCGGGTTATAATTTCAGATTTCGAATAAAAATTCTGAATGACTATGGTATGAATAAATATTTTTAATTATTGTGTATTGAACACATTATGTTCCAAAGTTTGGTAAATAATTAAACATTGGGATCGGTTTTACGTGAAATACCGAACTTCCAAACTCAATTTTTTTTGCTGGATTATAAACCAACTGTATGTAAAACACATTTTCCGTTTTCCGTAATCTTCAGGCTTGGCAGGCGAGTTGGAGAACGCAGTTTAAAATGTTCGGGGTTAGAATAGAATATATTTATTTATTTGGATTTATTAGAAAGTGTAGTCGGCTCTTACGGCACGACACCCGCGTGAATAGTAGAAGTGTTCAATGTCTTATACTTTTCCTTCATCACATGATACCTACAATACTGAACAAACTTCTTTTAAAATACTTAAGGTTTCATAATGTCGGTAACGATGCACGACACCTCTAGTGCTGCTTATCCATTAGCTATACATAGTAACTGCTTTCTATCAGACGATACAAAAGCTTCTCACACAATGCTACCCACCTTCTCAACCTGTCGCATGACGCGCAGCATGTTGAGGCCAGCGAGGTTCTTCAACTCCTGCACGGTCCATTGGCCACTTCGCAGCAGTTCAGCGAATAGCTCCGGGTAGCGGGATACGTCCTCCAATCCACGAGGGACCCTGCCATAAAAACAATAAGGGATCAGCTAATGAAGACATACTAATTTTGTCAATCTTGGCTAAATAAAGCAGCCTTAGGCAGAGGTGGATTAAACCTAAAGAGTGAACTAGGCAAGATGCTCACAGGTGCCCCTAATTTTTCTTGGCGCCGCCGTCCCCTATTGCCAGTTAGGTACGCACGTTTTGCGGCGCTCCTATATAACCGGGCGCTCTAGGCAATTGCCTAGTTTACCTTAGGGATAATAAACGGTTCTGGTCTTATACAAGTTGGCTTTTCAGACTCGGCACAGCAATTTATGAATCAAACAAATTCTGTGTGGGAGTGATGATAATGAAGTGTCTAATCAATAATATGAAAGAATGGCACACATTATTTTTTACATCTCACCTGTTCACACCGTCGAAGTCTCCACCGATGCCGACGTAGTCAGCGCCAACCATACGCTTGATGTAGTGGAAGTGTTCTATTAACAAAAAACAACAAACTATTTACAAACATTTCCTAACACAATGAAATAAGGTACCGAAATCATTTCGTTCAATAATATCCAACTGTAAGGTAACGAAAGTAATACAGATAATCCATAGGTGGGAAGAACAAAAATCGTTTAATTAGAACATATAGTTACTTGTAATAATATCTAACGTTCTTCAGCCATTAAGATGCATCACAATAATGGGCTAAATATTGACAAATAGTTTTAGTAACCCACGGATCTTATTTACACAGAACTACAAACACATCTTGTTACACAAACTCCTCTAGAGTCAGAGGATAATAAGCACAAACTTGTGTATCATGGAAATGTATTAAATATTTAGTTGCGGATGAACCTTCAACGAGCTAAAGTTACATCAATTCAGCCGTAGCTGCAATACGTTTGCTGAAACGTCCGGCTTTCAGTTGAATAATACAGGCGGGACTTTCAGCACTCGACCGCAGAGTTGGTTCGATGCGAAGGGACTTAAGCGACTATTGAAATGAAGATTAAAAGTACGCAGTGTCTCCAAGTTATAGAGATAATCATCCAATGACTTCTCCCGCCCGTGTGAAGTGAGAGGAAGCGGCAGACTCTTACTGACTAAAAACCACCGCGTTCCTATTCCTGCACGTCGAGCCGGAGCCCCGGTTACCCTCCTTCACATGTTGGCCTCAAACGTGAGTGATCTTAATCGGTTTTTAAAAGGTATTTGTAAATTTGTGGAGCAATGTTTTAGCTTAGCTTGCTGAAAGAAAAAAAGTTCCTTCATTGTAATCATTAAGAATCACAGAAATGCTCTTAATAATTTGATTGTTATAACATAATTCCTAGTATGTAAATAGTATTACTTAGCTTACCGTGCAGATGATTTGTACTAACAAGTAATAATATGTTCCAATAAATAGGTTGTTTGTTAGTCAAACAAAAACCGTTTCCTTAAATAGTGGACTCAGTTCACCGTCGAGTGTCTATCCACCCGAAATACAGGACTTGTTTTGTAAACCAAAGACAGCCATTTCGCCTCTCAAATTGGATCGTTTCCGGAGGAGGACTTTATACAGAGTAAGTTTCAAGTTTGAGCCGTACCGGGCCGGATGGGCGAAAGCCTGGTCGGTGGGGATAGTTGCGAAGGACAATAACTTCGGCCATGCTTGAGTCCGGCGCCGGTACGGCTCGTACGGAGTTGGTTGTGTCCCGTACACATCGGTACGCCGTACACGAACCGTTCTCTCCCAGCCAGATCTCGGTGAATAGGTTTCGATAAAACAAAGTTAGGAGTCTACGATGACAGTGTAAAAGCTATCTCTACGTGTGTTAAGAAAATGATGAATGACGTATAAAGAGCATCCATTACACTGTTACTGACATTGTCTTATAATGTTGTGTTTATTGTGCACAAGTTTGTATGTGTTCTGTCTAGATAAATTCTGAACACATACTTCTAATTACTATTTCACGTCATTGGGATCAGTAACAAGTTAGTGAAGTGAAAATCTTTTATTTTAATTTTATTAATTTACAGTACCACACAGAAAACAACAGACGATACAAGCGGTTCATCAAGACTAATGCCAGGAGCACTAAGTAAAGAATCCAGGCTAATATTTAAGTTCTAGACTAAATTCCGGACTTGTAAGGAACTCGGGAAGATTGCCCGAACTTTGTGTATTCCAACTCAGTCTGATTGCTATGATACTTATAAATCAAACTTCTTGCTTGTAGAAATACTATAAGATTGCAGTAATTCACCGAGGAAACGATCGGTTTTTTTCATCTCCTCTTATAATATCTTCTGATTCACTTCGTTGCGGTAACTAAGACAGTTACTCATGTCCCTGAGACGCGCTGGACTTCAGTGTTCCGGTGTTTTCTTGGTTGTATCTACTGTAGAGTTACAGGAGTTGCAGCGGTTTTGTGAGGATATGGCGGGCTTGTCCCATTTAAAAAAAAGATTGTTATGATTGCTTTGAAAAAACAAATTATGATATTATTTTATCTTTTCTCTCATCCCATCCCTAATTCCCAAATTTCTTTCGTTCTGCGGGTGTCAAACGACTGCAATGATTGCTTAACTTAAGACGATCCATCTGCTCGATCGAGACTCATATTTCGATATAACATTGTATTATGATTCTATTCCATTGAATACCTCCCGAATAGTTTCTGTTCAGCGGTTATGAGCACGAGATTTACATAGTTTCACAATGTGTTAATTAGTGGTTTTTGGATATCAGAAACAAAATATTCGAATCTCGAGAAAACATCGACACGTTACGGAACCAACTTGAATTTTTACCTGGAATCTACCCAATTGGCGTTACGTAGTCTCTGCCTACCCCCATGGGAGACAGGCGAGAGGGTACGTATGTACGAAAATTTTATGCAATAGGGGTAAACGAGCAGACATTACTAGATGGTAACCGACCAGCGCCGCCCATGGACAACAGAAACACCAAAACGGATTCAAGTGCGCTTTCGGTTTTTTAAAAATATCGCTCTATAACTTAGTTAGCACCCATTTAGAGTCAGATTACGTCAGGAACATAATATTGATAGTAATATAATAGTGATAATGTGGCAACCATCGAAAGCTGGTGACTAGCCATCACGATGCATAATGAACGACACGGTGACACCATCGATCAATTTAATGGCCGGCGGCGTTAATCCTCATCATTATTAATACTCATTTAATTGCCACTGTACATATGTATGTGTAATCAATTATTTATTTGCTCAAGTAGTCAGTTTAACTGGAAATAATATCGTATTTTAAAGTAATGTAGGTAAATGCGGATTTTCGAGTAAGAGATTTTGATTTCAACTCCCGGTTCGGGCTTCATTTACTTAACAGATTAAATTGTAGTATAGTACAAATAATACTGCCTCGTTGGACGAGTGGTCGCAAGTGTGACTGCCGGGCAAGGGGTCTCGGGTTCGATTCCCGGGTCGGGCAAAGTATTACTGGGTTTTCCTAACAACATGACCCAAGTTGTAATTTATTCTCCACCTAGTTAATACCACATCAGTACTTTAGTACTTGACGAAAACTTAACTTAAAGATACCAGATAATGTAGACTGCACTCGCAGCGAGTACGGTGCACGCTTACAATAATCACCCGCTACTGTAAGCTATTACGAAATAATTACACGTTCACAATAGTCCACGGCCAGCACCAACCCCCCGACTCTCTGGTTAGTAGAAATCTTTACCCAACTGTGGGTTTAATGAGCAATTAAGACGTACCTTTATTTCGTAATGTAATAGCATGTTGCGGTTCTAATGCGATGATTATGTAAATTGAACGCTTATGAGTTAATTTGCCGTGTTATTAGCATTCGTATTGGCTGCTTTAGAGGTACAGCTCTCTCAGGTTTACTACAATATAGTTTAATTGACAGACTTATATCACAGTAACTTTAAGTAAATGGCTGCCTGCGAGCTATAACACTGATAGGTAAATGAAATAGCCCTGTAACGACGTTATAAATATCCAGCTCAGTGTAGTATTTATGTGAATGTGCCTTCTTTATGTGAGCGCCTGTGAATCATAAGAGTGGAGCTTCTATTCCTCAATGAATAGGAATACGTGCTGGCAATTGGCAATTATTGATCATTAAGAGAGTATTAAGTATACCGGTCTTATTCATATGAATAAGACCGATAATAACTGAATTTAATTCAAGACTCTTGCAAGGGATAATTAGCGAGACGAACGGTTAATAAAAATTGGAATTACAAATATAAATGAAAATATGATTTTAGATGGCATTTCTAGAATGCATATTATTCTGTGGTACTAGACAAAAATATAATAAAACAACAATTGTACACTACTTACCGGCGACGTCGGAGATGGTAGCATTAGGAGCGCACTTCACGAAGTCCGGGAAGAAATTCACCATGATAATTCCGCCATTTTCTTTCTGCGAACAAATATACTCGTGAGAGGCCAGTCTAGTATTAATGTGTATATAATAGAAATACTTATATTTCTTAGTACCTATGTCTTTAGAAAGACATAGCATTATGATATGAAATTAAATCGAATCGTTTCGTATATTTACACCATTTTATTTTGCAATCTGTTGTATGATTTTTATATCCGTGTAGATCATATATTTGTGTGGCATAAGGTTTAGGTAAAAACGTGGTATTTACATAAAACATGTAGCCAACATAAAGTGGGCAGGTTCACGATGCTAACTAGTGAATTAGTAAAAAAAAACTAGGCAATGTTTATGGCCCACAAATCTATTTGTTAAAAAAGCATTATGTGTGTGTGTGCAAGTATATTATTTTGCATCCTCGGTGAGTATTATTACAAGAGCACGGTAGTCACGTCAACAAGGAGTATACGAACCAGGGAGTGAATGATGTCATCAGGAACATTGCGCTTGTGGTTGCAGAGGCTGTAGACCGATGAGTGTGTGAAGACGACGGGGGCGCGGGACAGTCGGATGGCGGCCCTGGTGGTGTTCTCACCCACGTGCGACAAGTCCACGATCATGCCCAGCCTGTTCATCTCACGCACCACTTTCTGCAGACAAACATATTAATATGTAGATTTATAAATAACTTTATAAATTGTTTAATAAAACTGACTAACACATCTTGCAAAGCATTTGTGAATTTTCCTTTGCCGCTTTTTATTGGTCAAAGACTCGGTCACAGTTTGCTCAAACGCTAGCCGCCAGCATGATACATAGTTTTAGTATCTATCCACTAGTTTAATTTATGCATTAATTATTAATTGACTATAGTCAGAACCCATGTCACAAATCGATCTTAATCTAAAGATTTTCATCACCCCAATTATTATAAGAGCACGTGTCTTATATTCGTAATACAAGACGCGCCCCACAGACAGACTCACACACTTCGATATTAATATCTACGGGTAATACCAGGGGCGATGTTACTCATGCGAGTGCAATGAATTCTGTATCAGATCGGATTCGATATTAAGTTCACGTGGATGTCAGTACCTCGGTACCGGCGCGCGGCGCCTGCGAAGCATCCTTCGTACATTATATTGTTGAATACTTTCGCGTCGCTGGATTTTGATGGGATGTTTTAATAAATTGCAATCATAGGTCTCACGGCACATTCCAGCCTGTCTGCCAGCCTGGCCAGCGGTGCCTGATGGTGCTTGTTTATTAAATTATGTTTTTCCTCTTCCTAAAAGCTCCTGAATTAAAGGAATATTTTAATGTCAGTTTCAGCTTTGTTTCAGTAGCTAAAATATCTTTATTACGTTTAAAAGAGATTCTTGTGGACGCGTGTCTTTGTGAATACATTTTTTATTTCACATTAAAACTGTATAATTTTGAATTTCAAGCGCAAATGAAACATTTTCTGTAAAGCTGAGAATAATAGTGACAGGTCGTTTATAAAGATTATTAAATAATTTCGAGACTTTCTGCCATTTGTCTTCTGAAATGAAAATATATTTTCACCTCAGTCTGCAGATACAAGCAGTCTTTTGTTCCAAGGCCATCAGATATTTCATGTTCGGTCTAGACAAAAGATAACGAATGGATGTCAGTGGCATTTTAACCCTTAATCATAATTCAGTGAGGATGAAATATTTTCGCAGTACATGCCATGTTCAGAGTGCGTAGTGCGAGGTCATTTAAAGTATTTATGCAGTATTCCACTCATGTACGACGGTTGGCGCTCTGATTGGCTATCTCCAAGTTAATCAATCAATCATAAGGCTAAACGCGGTAACGTTTCGATCGCATTAACGTTAAAGTAACTCGTACTCGGTGCCCTAAAGTAAGTAGAAAGAAAGAAAAAGCATTTATTCAGCACCAGCCACGATGCAGCATAAATAAAATAAAAAATAGACACTAAAAGGTACATGTGGCAGTGAAAGGAAAATGAACAGTAGCAAAAAAAAAATTAAAAAGAAACCAGAAAACAGACATGCTAACAACATGCCATGCAGTATTAACTGAGGACTGTTATGCCAGATATCTGCTAGTCCTGGTTTCGTGTGATCCTCAATTTGAGATCCAACGATAAGGGGAACCGGTCTACTTCATTTCTTATTTATCTTTTTGCCCGACTGCACGACAGCAAACAATGGGTTATGTTTTCTACTCGTTTCTATTATGTACTCTATGTACGAGTCGTTTGTTATGTACGGTCGAAAGTATGGAACGGTTGGGCGGGTTTTAATAAATCAAGTTTTTATCGGTTCGTCTTATAGTCCGATGGCATCTAAAACCTGCATGTATTTATATTTTTTTATTATAAAGTTGAACAATTTTAATGAAATCTTTATTGTAGACTAAATTTTAGCACAATTGTTATTACTTATTTACGTTCATTATATTCACACGATAAAAAAAAATTATTAACCGGAAAGAAATCTGAAAATATCTTTATCCATGACATGACTCAATACGTTAATATAAAACATAGAAACATAGACTTTGGGAACATAATTCGGTTTTCATTTTGGTGTGACGTTCCTAAGTGTACATTTCGATGCGAGAACCTTCCCCTTAAAATATTCGGTCGCCATTTTAAAAACCCCGTCCTAGTCACATTTAAATAGCGCTCTAAATCATCGTTATGTATTTAGGTATTGTACGGCCGATGGTACAAGCGTGAGCGAGGCTTAACTAATATGCGCGCTCATTATTCTTCATTTCGTGTTTTTGTAAGGGCATGCGTCATTTATGATAGCAAGAAATCTGGTTACGCACTTGCTTAAAGTATTTCGTTTAAAATAAAGAGATTAAAGTTAAACAGACTTTTAAAGTATCTCAAAATTCGTAGTGTAAGTCCAGACATTTTTCCAAGAACACAATGTGAGAGCCGCGCAAATATTGTGGCGAGGGTAGCCTAGATATAAACCTTTCCACACAATACGTGTTTTGTAGTACCTTAGCACTCAACATAACTTAGTGGTGGTAAACGATTTCTCTTTTAAACTGAAATAAGCAAAATAAGGTCTGATTGGTAGAGATAAATCAGAAGGCTCCACTTTCACGATATTTAATTACGAGGTCCGATGACTCGGATAGGTGCTCCACGTCATCCATTAAAACTGTATTATCGGTAATGGAGCTGTCCATGCTAATTAATTACTCGACGAGGCACAGTAAATCTTATTCTGAATGGAACACCGTTATTTCATACATCGAAACATAGAATCGAGAACCAGGGACATTGTTTCAGTAAAAATAATGTTAAGACTAAGTAATTAAAATTGGACCAGAGCATGACGATATCTCGCATAGAATAAAAAAGCAACCTGATTTCATTGTAACGTTTTGTTTTATACGTTTTGAACATCATTCCATTCGTTCTATACGGACGCATGAATGTACATTTATATATATATCAAAAAGAATATATCTTTGTTTATAAATTTTGTTAATTAAATGTGTAGCCGGAATATTTAAAGACGTGTACATACATACGTAGGTGTAAGGTACGTTGTACATTGCCGGTGAGCCGCAAGCACTTTCCTCTACAAAAGTTTTAAACGAAGTTCTCCTTCGGCGCTTCAGTTTCTAGTTGTTTCTAATATTAACATTGGACTTTTTAAACTACCCTCGCGTTGTGTGTTTAGGACGAGAAACTCCCGAGTATTATTTTAAGCGTTGTGGCGACATTGCTGCGAAATGTTATTATTTCCCCCTCTTTCCTTTCTCTTACATTTTAAACACATTGGAAGGACGAAAGTTTATTTGTTTGCAAAGGTTCTTAAGTTCTATGGCTACAAACGTCTTGGTGCTATTGTTTCAACTATGTAGCAAATAATAATGTTACTGTGTAATTACTGTTGCTCTTGAAGACTGCTACTGAGCAAGGGATTTTAGAGACGTTACGCAAACTGTTTTGAATTTTAAGTAAATATTTTCACATAATAACTGGCTCGCTTTCTGGTATACTTAATGATGTAGTAACGTACTACGCTATCGAAAAACAGATAATACATAGATTTCTCTAAAGAGCTCGTTATTAATATACTAGTTACATAAATGAATTCTGAAATAAGATTGTTTTGATATTATAAATGTACACTAAATGTCTACACATTACTATGTGTACCTATAGTTGAGACAATATAACACCAGAGACAATGGCTCCTATAGTGCCGTACATGTCGTCTCTTATTCTTGGGAAATAATAGGCACCGTATACCATTACTCATTTTAGAATATTTTTAAAAACATTTCATAGCTGCAATGCACGCGAATGATTAATCTTTATTGTTGCAAAGTGTCTACTTCTTCTAGTTAAATTTCCTCACTTCAGTGTGATCCTCGATATTCTCTCTGTAAAATTCATTTTGTTACCGTCTCTTCTATAAAGTTCCGCGCCGTAATTACAGTTTTGCATCGCAAGTGTCATCAGGATATCGGATCTCCTTCCACGAGAGATCTCTGAGAACACTTCAAACAGTAAAAGGCAATGATTGCACCCTCGTTATGTCGCAAATAACGTTTTACTGAATTCAAGCGGTTTTATACAACTGTTGCGATGGATTTTAAGGCTACTATTTAGATATAGTCCTGGAAATTATGGCTTTAAAAATGACAAATGAATTGTATAAAACTATTCGACTAAAGAGGTACTCATATGAGTAGGTAAATAGTATAACACTTTTTTCCAACGTTAGAACGTTTATCTGAGGAATTACGAAAATTTGATATTTCTTCCATATTAAAAACAGTCAAATGTCAATTTTAATCTACAGTTAAGATTTATCTACTGATTAAACGTAACCCTCTATCCGAGCTTAGGCATGGGTGTTATCTGAATGCCCTCATATTTAATTTAAAATCCAGCACAATGCACGTTAATCGGGCAAGGCATATTATGAGCTTTATAAATGCATTTTCCAAAAGCCTACATGACAGCAATAACCGAAAGAGGAAAGAAACGGTAACTGTGTAGTTTAGTGTTAACAAACGTTATGAAATATTCCCGCACACAATTTGTCCGGACTATTCAAAATGATAATTTAATTTCGCCTTAATGCAGTACGACAGACTTGTTAGTTAATGGCTTGTATTTGTCAGCTCTGCTGTTTATTTAATAAAACTATTTAAACTTTTCTGTTGGTTGATGAATGCGCTTTGAGGCTATTACGATATAAGTATTGCGATTGAGTAAGCTCAATCGAATGTTTAAGTTCTCTTCCTGAAATAGACTTTATAGGAAAATATCTTTAAACACGTATTATTCTTACGTGTTACGAGGAAACTTTTTCTATTGGCACTGTATTCTGATCGTTGACAATTTCCAGTATCCGTAATTCGTAAAATATAGGTAGCCGTTCCTTTTTGTTTCCATCACGTTTCCAATAAACACATTTAAACTCAATGCAGATTGAAGTTAAACACAACGTGATCTCCAACATGAAATTAATGTAAGCTCATAGTTATACTTGTAGGTACATAGATAATCGATTAACTAGCAACTTAATTGATGTCATTCATCACTGGTGTCTGACCGACTCATTCATCTTCCTAAATTGTAACACAGGGATGGCTGTCACGTTGATTGACTAGATAATATTTTATTCAAAGCTCAGCGTTTAAACGACAATTTTCATTGCAGTTTATACAACTTTTTGGCCTAAATGCTGGTTATTTTCGAGTACGATGTTACTAAAACAAAAAGGCTATAATAACCATATTGTACTGAAATATATGTGTGTAAGCAACCCCAACATCACGGCAGCAATAAGAAACAAGGAGGATTCCGTTCTAATTACACGAACGGCCGCCCGAATCATCAACGTGATGCCGAATTTACACGAACCAAAAACACGTCAGGAATTCTCAGGGCGTTGTTTTAGGGCCCAGTATCAAAGTGAGCATTGAGGTACTTTTGAACAAGGTCCTGGAGACTGTATCATGACACGTTTCATACCTTTTTTTTCGCCTTGTATACATAAATTGATATAAAACTCACTTTTTTTCGCCTTGTATACATAAATTGATATAAAACTCACTTTTTACTAATCATGTCATGAGCCCCATGTGCTCTCTGTGCTAGAATCAACGTTATAACTTTGCTTCACAAACCGGACTCGTGATCCCTTGCTCAGTGCTTAGCAAGTTGATCAATAAGTAAATAACTATTATTTCAATATAAGCATAATATGTAAGCTAAAAGACCGGTTATGACAGACATGACATATTTCCATTTCTGATCCCATCAAGATGGCAAGATGATAAGTCCATGAGAAACGATTGCTCCTCGTCAATGTTTCTTGATTTGAAGTAACCTTGTTATCTTGTTTGGTGAACAAGCGTTTACGGTTACATAATAAAACTCATTTTTTCCGCCAAACATTTGTAACAGTACACATCCTTTTTTGCCAGTTGGATGATAAGTATCTTACTCTTCTATTTAACTGGTGGTTCACTATTTATTGACTAATGCATGCGTTAATTTTTGTATGCCAACGATTTCAAAAACCATCAACTTGATTTTGGTAACAACCAGTAGTCTCCGCTGCTATGGAAATACCAATATTTAGCAAGTTAAATTAAATCACTTATTGTATTAGTTGTAAAGGACGCTAGTCTATTGCAATCTTCATTTCGTAAGTTATGGAGTATGGCCAGACTAATAACACAGCTATCTAACTTCATTGGCCGCAATCAATAGTGGTAGAGGAGACAGAGTGAAACTATTACTACAGAGGTCCAATTTACGTCCGTTTGAGCTAGTTCTAAAGTGAAACCTTCTATCAAATTATCCGTATGGTACAGGAGAGGTATAGAATTTAAGTTATCGCTCTTTCATATTCCCTAGGCTTTCCTACATGCACTAACTATGTATCACGACTCTGTCTCCCTTTATTCGGCTATCGTTATCGTTAGGAGGCACGCGCGATCATCCTACGAATGCATGGAGCTCTCACAATGCCCTGTATTTACTGTTCAAAGGTACATGACTGACTGTGTGAATTTATAAAAGGTCAGCTTTTGTTACAGAGAGCATTGTAGCACGGCCATTCGTATTGTGCTGCATACTGTGAACTATTATTGATGTCTAGTGGGCAGTTAAGCAACAGATTGTGGCGACCTTTTAATATTTTAGACTGTTAGTTGGAAAAACTAAAATATCTGCTTTATTAATTCTAATTCCATTGTTTAGATGCTAATGCAGTAGTAAAGAGGGTCCCGCCAGCGGCTGCCTCGATCAATATTCTTACAGGGCTACCACGTATCTTTTCTACTCAACCTACTCCTAACATAATTCCAACATTCCTTACAAAACAAATCGGCATTTTCATCCTTCCATATTAACAGTGGCCTTGCAAACAGACACTCGCATAGCTCTTATACTACAAACAAAAAGGTTGAAATTCGCTTACCTCTCCGAATTCGGTCAGTCCATTGGCCACGGGCGCTTCGTTCGATGAGTCGGCCCTGAAAGGAAGGAATAAATGACGCAAAAAGGAAAATAAATGTACAACAAAAAGATACACATATGTAGAAAAAAATACGTTCGCTGTTGTTCATTCGCAAGGGCTTCCTTGACAGTGGCTTGGATCAGGAGATACGGGCGTGTGGTGGAAGCAGTATAACGAGGGCCTGCACACGCGGACTGTGGCAATAACAAACAACATCGGATGACAGTCGCGGGCCGTGGCCGGGCCGTGGCCGCGACAGTCGCGTGTCCGGGGCTTGTTACGTCCCCCCCTGTGTTGTTTTGTTATTGTAACTTAGTCCAATGCTAAGCTGCTCAAATTGATAGTTGTTAATAGAATTACTATGCCTATGCACGGGTTCAAACAAATGTTCAAGGTTCAAGGGATTCTGTTAATAACAATATTCGCTGTTTCCGTATTATTCTGCCCCCAATTAAGTTTTACGGTGTGCGTGCTCAGTACAGTGTGCGGGCACTTGCTGCCCATTTAATTATTGTATGCGATTAAATTAAATTTTAATTATCAATTGTAGACTGTATAAAATTATGCTTAACTTTGATATTCGAGTAGTAGCGTATGGAGAGTAATGGTAATAATGTCGGAGTAACATTAAATAATAGTGAAAGCAGTTCTAATCGACACTTCCATTTGAACAGGCAACGCTTGCAACTTTGATTACATACAGTGTTAATATCTTTAGCGTCGGCTAATTGACAAGTAGGCTCGACGACTTAATTCAATTATTCCAAAATTGACGGTTCACTTAGCGACGAGTTTATGGAGCCACTGACTTCGATATTTATCTGTGGAATTGTTTTCTATTTAACAAAACACAACTTGATCATTAGAGTTGATGGAGCTTTTAACCGACTTGTGTAAAAGGAGAAGTTTAATTGGTTTGAATTTGTTAACATTGTTCAAATGTCATTAATGTCTTGTGGAACAAATAATTTGGGTTCACCCCGTTAGATACATAAGATTTTAATGTTCAATTATGTACTCTATGATCTTTCATCACATTGAGTAGACCCACAGTAATGTAATAGCTATGTGAAGTCTGAATGCAAGTCTCGTACTGATGTCGATCTGTGAAGAGACAATAAGTCTCCTCAATGTACCACCAAGTACAATACATTGTCATCGGTACCTGTACTACTACAGGAAGCAATACCTGAGTGATTCCACTCAAAGCGTAATGTTACTATTGTCACAGTATTGTCGTAAGCTAATTACTTAAATATTTAGTACTAGAAACGGACACCGTGTTAAAGTTTAAAGAGCATAAAACAAACAACTCCTTTGAGTTTCGCTACGTATTGTGCAAGACCAAGACTTTGAAATTAAAGTTAAGTACCTAAATTTAAGTTTTTGCTGGATTGTTCCGTCATTTTGAGATATTATTCTAGGTAAAGTCACAACAAGGTAATAGGTCAAAGGAGGCAAAGCAATAAATCATCGTCTGAAATACAAGTTCACTTGTTTTGACAGTTGGTACAAATGGAAATTAAACAAAACTCTCGTGTCGACGGAGTTTGTTGGAACTTGAATTGTTGGAGAGACAGTTGTCTTACGTTGTTTGCGGTGAGTAGTTGTGACAGTCCTTTGTCTATCAGTTGAGTGGAATGATTGATAGTGACGACAATGTCAATCGACAGTAACAAGTCCGGTTATATGGCTGAGTGCACCCCGCCATCCCGCCAGCGAGAGCCACACAATGCACCGCCGCGGGCTGAAGTACATTCTCTCTAAACTACGCGCCGTTTATGTCACAATACGCGCAATTAGTATATTCATAGACTTTAAATACTCATGAAACAATAGTAAGTAAAGGACTACGTTCCAAGTCAAAACAATTCAGACTTTATTCACTTATCTCTCGGTGTGGATTGCTATAGCCGGACCGTTGATTGGGTTGTTATTTTACCATCTGTGCGACGAAAAGCCAATCACACCGGCCCACGTCCTGAGATCATCCCGGAGCTGAGCGACACTTTTATCGGTAACACAACCCGACTTCCCGATTGAATTTTACTTCGTTTGTCGCATCCACCGGGCAATATTCGCCAGCCGAATATCCGCGCAAAACCTAAAACTAACCCAGGGAATCCAATCTATACCATCGTAAATTAATTCACCGGGAGCCGATTGCTTTGAGCACCCACATGGCTGACAATCTAGTTATAGAAATTGTGTTACACCGAGCCAAACGTGCCATGTATATCGAATTGAAATTAGTATGTGATTCCGATGTTTCGTTGGGTAGCGATATTGGTGGGTGGTCCTGCAAATACGCGCGTCGGGACGTTGGGGGTTGACTTGATTACTTAATTGATATTTGTCATGACGGGAGTTGGCGGCCCGTTATGTCGTCGTTGTTTTACAATTTTTGGTAGATTGTTCCAACAGACGGGCAGGGAGCGCGATCAACATCGTTTTTACTCATCTAGCTTATCGATTCTTCAAAGGTCTGTAAACAAAAGTTGAATTAAATCTTTGAAGTAACGTTTCCTCTGTTCAGTGGTTTGTTTCCCAGTTCAAAAGAAATAATATCAGTGCGAGGACGACGTGAAAGTATCTATCGACAAGCAGATTTGTCGGGGACCGTCGTTACTGATGTTTAGTGCAAGCTGTACTCGGGAGCAGCTTGTTAGCTTGCGACAGAAATGTTTGCTTCTTTCGCGTTGACTTTATACTAATGGTGTATAGGTACTTAAGAGTTTTTCCTTGTTATTGTTAAAGCAACATTACCCATTGTTCGACATTAATGCTATTAGTAGGTAATAAGGGACGAGCCTAAGGTTGACTGACTGAGAATTCCAAAATCCAGTTATACAATCGATGCTCGACCTATTAATCGATCACCAGAGAGACCCCTTATATACCCACTCTATTACCGAGGTAGCATAACAAGATGTATATAATGTGAATAATATTCTCTATAGTTCTTCGATACTTTATCTATTACATACGAATCCTTCAAATATAGTTTTATCAACCAAATCGGTTTAAGTTTTCCTCAGACTATTTCTGTCAGTGTTACCAATAAAATTTATTGCTGAATTCAATTCAATACTTGAAAAATAAATTCACTGAACAATAGAAACACTATTTTACATTTATATTACCTGCGCCTGCGGTAGCTTTACTCGACTTTACCGAGGAAGGAATAAAGTTGAAATTATAGTTTATGCATTGGTTATTATATTGCTATGGAATTTATGTGACGTCCTGACGTGTAGGATACATAACACAGAACTGTAAAAAGAAACATTGGGACCGTTGTATTGAAGCGTTGGTACTGCTTTATGAATATCGCATTATCGCTGCTTTTGTGTATTTCATTTAAACATTTTCTACTTAAATATTTTACTAGTAGATGCCATATGGTCTTACCTCCGCTTCGTGATTATTTGGCAAACATTAAAGTTTTAATAAATAAATAAAAAACATTCTAACAGTCCTATTAATGTGATAAACTGCTTGATGATTTAAGACATTTCGATCGATGTAATAGAATTCTATAAAATACGTAACACAAATTGAAAGTGTATCTGGCGAAACAGCATCGCTCAAAATGTCACTCAAACTAAAACAAAAACAGACTAGAAGCATACGACAAGTAACTGAAGATCTGCCAAACCGCGCACTTCAAATAACAAAAGCCATCCATTCAATATCTTACAATCGCTATCTGATTACAATAGTCGCACAGCATTCGAAGTCAGTCCTCGTTTGCTTTACGCTTCACTTCTGGCTTTTGAAGAGCTGGGGCGTTATCTTCAATCTCATATTCAGTTGGGGAGCGAACTATCACACGTAGTAGCAAACAGTACCTCTACTATGAGTTTAAAACAAGTATTTCTCAATACTCGATAGCGGCGACGTAAATTTTTCGTTTGACAAATTTTAATTCCATAAGTGACCACTAGAAGCGCTGTAAAGTATACATAGTATAAAAAAAATACGTCGTCGCTATCGAATATTGAGAAATATTATTATTTTAAAATCGTGGTACTGTACAGCTTGCAGGGAACGTTGGAAAACTATCTGTTATCTCGTGTAGAGTAGGTCGTGGTGGGGTACTCTCCTAGTTTCTCCCCCCCTCCCCCGTCAGGACGTGGTCACGTACATAGTTGATTTAGATCGCAGATTTACTGGCACTGAGATGTACGCGTACCACCGACAATTGTTTTTGCCTGTACGCCTAGTTTTATGCCGGTGTTACCACGGGAGCTTGTTTCAGAACTAAGTTTAATAGGCTGCTGTTTTTATTTTATAAATAAAGCTTGTTAAAAACAAATACTGTATTAATTCCAAACTTCTACTTTGCGTTGCTATTGATTGCCTAAAACCGATATTTCATGTACAGTAATAGTTGATATTAAAAAGTAATTAATTCCACTCTCTAGACGGCACTATTAATTCCCTTTTGTTGAGGTCTGCTGGGAGTAGTACAGGAATGTAATTGTATTGGTACATCGTAATGTGTGTCGTACTGTGCACGTATCGACGGCTCAGTGTCTATAAGCATCGTCTCCGCCATCACTGCGTGCCCCGACGCCAATCTAACAAACTGTCTCGTTCTAATGACGAAATTATGGACACCCTATATAGGCTATCACGTCCGTGCAAGGATACAACGGTATAATTGCTCTGAAATCATTGCTATATATCAATGTTGGCGTTCTGCGAGAAATTATCAAAATAATAACAATTATGATAGTTGAGTATTAAATTATGTATGAATAAAAATGTTCAATGAAAATTACGAAGGAAATTCCTTATTGCGTACACTGGAAGTAAGCCGTCATTGGTATGGAGTTCATAATAGCCAGGTTTTATTAAAATATAGTCAGGATTCCTGTCTGGTGTATGTTAGGGGGTTTCCCATTGTAGGAATACTGTGAGGTTCGTGCGTTGACGGTAAAATAAAGTCTATGTATATTATGTAGATAGGTACAAAATTCTTTTGTGAGATAAATACTAAGGACCTGGACA